GGGCTTCCAGCACGAGGGGGTGGTGGGCTTCCAAGACGAGGTGGCAGTCGGCGTTTATTCCGTGGTGGTGGTGGGCTTCCGTCCCGGGGTGGTGGTGGGCTTCCATCACGGGGTGGTGGTGGGCTTCCATCACGGGGTGGTGGTGGGCTTCCATCATGGGGTGGTGGTGGGCTTCCATCACGAGGGGGTGGTGGGCTTCCAATACGAGGTGGCAGTCGGCGTTTATTCAATTGTGGTGGTGGGCTTCCATCACGTGGTGGTGATGGGCTTCCATCCCGAGGTGGTGGTGGGCTTCCATCACGAGGGGGCGGTGCGCTTCCATCATGGGGTGGGGGTGGACTTTGACCCCTTAGTTGACCTTAAATTTACAACAAAAACTCTATATATGATATAAATATAGTTTAAATTAATGGCATTTGATATATTGATTTATTTATTAAAATGTTAAACAACATTTGCCTTTTTTTAAAAAAACTCTACATTATTGAGAGCTTTTAAATATAGAATTATTTTGTGTAACGAAGACTATCGCAACCGTTTGTCACGTCATTAACAGACTTTAAAAAAAAGTTGCTACTCTCATAAAAATACACAGCCACTTAAATTTTCGCAAAGGAAAAAGAACAATTTATTTTCATTTTCTAAAAGAAAATATTAAACCATCTCCATTTTTCAAAATTAAATTTTCAAGTGTGTAAAACGATTTGGTTTTGATATTTTATGGGTGTACTTATATACATGTACCCACGTTTTATTAACGCCATTCATTTTCTTATTTGGTAAACATATGTTTATTTATAAAAAGAGAATGTAACATCTCTTTTTTCACATATGAAATACCATAGGATTTAAATATATTGTCATCCACGTAAAAAAGTAAACATCCCATCTCCTACCCCCGATATGGATGTACCTAAGAAGGTTAACTATTTAACAAAGCCATTCCTTTATTCTGAGAGCTTTTTCTAAAGTAGGCAATTTGCACTATTGCGTCATTTGCTTGTTTATTTACAACAAATTAATATTTCTTTTATTTTGCCATATTAACAGTGCACTAAAAAAGCACTAAAAAACAACAGATGTTCATTTATTTCCCCCGAAAAGTAATAATAAGATTGTAATTCTAAGATCATAATTATTTGATTAAAATTTGTTTTTATAATTTTCAAACTCGGATAAAGTACTTTAAATAGTTCCTTTATTTTAAATTTAAATGTATTTGGTAATTAATAATAATAATAATAATAATAATAATACACAAACATTAAAACTTTATTAAAAGCGGATACATTTCATTTTTTGCGTATTCAAATTTATTCAATTTACGTAAAATAATTGAAAATTCCTATCACTTTTTTTTCAAGAAACCGAATGTATTTAAATCTGTTTGTCACTTTAGGGTTACGTCCACCTTGGCTCGGTCTTATATAATATATATCGTATGAATATCTAAAACATTTAAATATCATGCAAATTTCAATATATTTTACATAAGCATTGCAGAGTTTAACTGTCAATGTTTATCAGCGGTTCCAGACCTGTTAAAACGCATGAAGCTTCCCCGAAGACACATGCTAGTTCCCATTGGGGCGCTACAATTTCATTTTTTTTTAAATTCCTTGTTACCATTACATAAACTAATGTAAAATTAGAAACAAAAAATATTTGAAATAATACATTTTAAACTAGACTTCTCTATCACATTTTAAACTAGACTTCTATATCACATTTTAAACTAGACTTCTATATCATATTTTAAACTAGACTTCTATATCACATTTTAAACTAGACTTCTCTATCACATTTTAAACTAGACTTCTATATCACATTTTAAACTAGACTTCTCTATCACATTTTAAACTAGACTTCTCTATCACATTTTAAACTAGACTTCTATATCACATTTTAAACTAGACTTCTATATCAAATTTTAAACTAGACTTCTCTATCACATTTTAAACTAGACTTCTCTATCACATTTTAAACTAGACTTCTCTATCACATTTTAAACTAGACTTCTCTATCACATTTTAAACTAGACTTCTATATCACATTTTAAATCAAGACACTAATTTACATAATGACCTTTTTCTTTAAACATGGCGGAAACAAATATTTGATTGTATTTTCAATACCTCTTAATACACCTCAAACAGTGGTTCCTAACGTTCCTAATTCCACGACCCATTTACAGTTAATCATGTTGTGGTGATCCCAAACAAAAAAAAAAAAAAAAAATTCGTTACTACTTCCTAAATATATATTTTTCGATTGCATTTGGTGACTCATGTGTAAGGTTCATTCGACCCCCCTAAAGGGGGTCAAGATCCACAGGATGAAACCGCTGACTTAAACAATGTATCATTTTCATAAGGTTACTGTTTCATGAGAAAAACAGTTCCCAACAAATTGCTTGACACATTTGAAACACACATTGTGTCAACTTTTCTAAGACATGAAGTGAGCATCTTTATTTTCTTGCATTTCTAATGAACGTCTGTTAGAGAGTACGAAGATTCTCTGATTTTTCTACTTACCAATGTCTTGGGCAAAGCTGAAGCCGATAATGGTCAGTGCCAACAGAGCTACAACCTTCATCTTAGTAAATGTTCTACACACCTAAAGGTTGAGTACAGGACTAGGTTTGAGCAGACTTATATATAAGAACGTTTCTTAGGTTATGAGTATGTAACTGCCAGGTGCTCGGTGTTGTCTAATGACACCTGATAGTCTTAAACACAAGCTGAAGAAACAAATCTTTCCCGTGTTCTACGTTTACAAACAACGGTCTCATCTGTTACTATGTTTATTTTATCGTAAAAGTAGATTTAGTCAGTGACATTAAGCAAATATTTTCTGAACTGTTGTTTCATTGGATTTTCCCATGATTAAGGTTAATATTTTTTTTTACTTTGTTCAGTTGTGATTATTTTATTAATTACTTTTTTTAAAGTAATGATAATACTTTTCTCTTTTATTATTATTAACAAATTTTAACTTTCTTGTTTTAACTTTTAACTTTAATTTTAACTTTCCTTTTTTTTGTGGGGGGGGGTTACAACAAGAAAAACAACAAGAAACGGGGGGGGGGGGGGGTTGGATTTTGGAAACAATAAAGTAAGACGGTGTTACACCCTCTTGCTGTACTCAGTGATGTCATATGCAGGTCCGAGGAGCGGGGAGTGCAACTGGTAAATTGTTTCGGGGCCCATGGACCACAATGGGTGCCTTTGAAAGGGATATTATCCTTTTCTTACATATAAAAAAAATATATATTTGAAAAGTAAAAAAAAATATTGTGTGTATACTAATTACTCTATAACTTTTGTAGCATATATAGCAAATCTTCGTTTGACAATAACAGCCGTGCTACTAAGGTGTATACTGTTTTTACTAAAACATTTCCCAAAAGCTATAGATACCTAGAATTTTCCCCAAAGTATTCCAACAATTTGAAGTATAAATGGTGAAAACTAAGACCGAGATTGACTTATCTGGAGTGAAGTTAAACAGACATTATTTTGTGTTCTTCATCGATCATTTTGGGAAAAGATCTGTTGCAGCAGTAGCAGCTCAGCATTGAAGTCGTCGCTTTCATCAACATAAAGATTATCAGCAGCTGAAATGCAATAAATTACATTTATGTTTTCGTTATCCCAGAACACTAGAGAAGCAATTGTGACAGGCACTGCTGTCAAGCTTAGTGAGAATTAGATAGACACCTGTCCAATGGCATGAAAAACAGTTACAGTCTATTTAAATGAAGCAGAATCAAGTGGTCAAGTGGTACAACATTATAAGAATAATCACTATTTTTGTTGAAGGTGGGCTTGCTTTACCTTGCATTTCCCAGCGCGTTGGTGAAAAAAAAACAATGGAAATATTCTGGGAGTCAATTCTGTTGTCTCATTGGGATCCAATTCTAAAGGAACATGTGATTCAAGTTAAAGTGTCACAATAAAAGGGAGAACGACTTTTAGTGTATTATCTAAGTGCTATACTCAACAATGAAAGTAGTCACTGAGACCGCTCTGCATTATATTCATGTCTTATCAATAATGGAAGAACTAGATGAAGCGACAACGTTACAGGAGCTCGAAAAAGTCATTGATTACCTTGATGATGGAAGGGCACCATGGATTGACGGCATTCCACCGGAAGTCCTCAAAAATGGAATACCTATTCTACTTTAGCCCTGACATGAGTTCATCTGTCTGTGTGGGGAAACAGTTCACATTCCCATGGACATGAGAGACGCCAACATCATTAAATTGTATAAAAATAAAGGGGACCAAAGTGATTGCAATAGTTATCGAGGAATTTCTCTCCTTA